AAAACAGCAAAAGAAATTTGTTTTATTTTTTCTAACAAGAGGACATAGGTCTCTAAAATGACACTTCTGAGAGGAAGAGATACACAGTTAATGGCTGCTGAGCTCTAAGTGCCGTTTTCAATTTAAACTGTAAGCGTGAAAGAATGCAGAACTGCGCTGCATTCTACTTGCAGAAGACCGGGTGAAGCTTCCAGCAACATTGCTGGTTATCTGAGGCCAGAGACAGGTAGGAATCTGCTCAGCCCAGAGAAAGAACAGACTCAGAGATAGTGTTAAGTACACACAGAAGTAAAATGTAGAGTCCAGCAAAAGACAACAGGGACATATATGCCCCACAGGCCTCTTACACATTCTTTGTCACTTCTGGAGATGGAAGTCTGAGAAGTGCTGTGTGTTCAGCCAGAAACTATGATAAAAAGCAAAAAGAATCAGGAAACAAAAGTCAAAGATTATCTTACTTCTTCTTCCCTAAGATTCCCTGAGGAGATGAGATCAAAGAAAGGTGACTTAATCTTTGCCTCTGAGCGGGCAACAGACTCTCACTTCAGCTTATTACCCATCATCCTCTTCCATTCTTTCCTTTGATGGCCTCCTCTCTCACCTCCTTTTTAGTTTCCTCCAACTGTCATTTCTCCACTACTGCTCCTTTTGCTATTAATGGCACAGTGAAGCATAGCCATTTTCACATTTAATGCATTGAACATCCATTATCATATCACACAGCAGAAGTACAGAGAGAAAGAAGAAAGCGCTCTCTCACCTCTCCTCTCTGATTTCTGCAGAAGCCCTCCTTGCCTATACACAGAAAAGAAAATAAAGAAACACAGCAGGGGCATCTTTAGGAAGAAGAACCAGGCTATAAAGTAATACAAAAAGTTAAGAGACAAGAAAGAATGGGGGAAAAAAAGGCTTTGAAAGACATCGCAGTCGCTGTACACTAACGCTGATTCATCCACCTCCAGTCTTTCCTCCTCCTCAAAAAAGTGAAACACATTTTCTAGGCCATTATGAGAAATGTCCTTTTCTCCATCTTAAAAAAGAATTGATTCTAATTTGAACTGTCACTATTATAATTACAAATTATTCATGATAATTACCCCTTATGTAAAGTGCTTACAAACACAAGGGGTTCAGATTTCAGATTTTCTCAGACTTTAGAATATATGCATATATAAAATGAGACCTCTGAGCCAAGATCCAAGTCTAATACAATCTTCATGTTTTACCTGTGGTAAACACCTAGCCTAAATATGATCCTATTCATCTTAATGTATGCATGAAACAGATTCATAGTGTAAAATTTACATTTATAGCATAATATAAGCACTGAATTCCTCCAGCTTTTGAAGCATTTTCCATTTCAGATCAGGGATGTTCAATATGCATGTTCAAATATTTAACATGACTCTCTATAGAATGATGCAAGCTGGTCATTACGTAATTAAATAAGTTAATGTGGACAGTGCAGGAAACATATAGGTAAAGTTTTGAAAAATAAATGCTTACTTTTAAAGACTTCCTAAGTTTGAGGATGTCCACATATATACATTTTGGCTGCTTGATAGTCAAACAGCCAGACATTAATGGGTATAAAAGTATTTTTTTATAAGAGTATCTAACTTAGATCTGAGAAAAAGCACAATGTTATACTTTACCTTCTACACACTGTGCAGGACAAGACTATAACTAGTATCCTCGTCCTTGGGCTTAGACACTGACTCTCTCTCTCCTGCTGTTCTCCTTCTCTGCAGTGACAGGACAGTACCTGCCATCCTTGCTTCTAACTCCTGCCAACATGAAAACAGCACTCTGCAACTTTAAGTCTATTGAAATACTTGGCTTTCAGGAACCAACAAAACTCCACATTTGACGAGCCCCAGTATCCAGGGATTCTCTCTCAAAAGGACAGTGTACAGGAGCCAGTTCTCTTCTGTCATGGGTCCCAAGGATCCAACTAAGGACATCATGCTTGGCAGCTAGTGCCTATACTAGCTTAGCAATTTCTCTGGCCTCCTGGACACTGCCTTATATGGAACTTAACTCATAACACTGTCTTGTAGACTTTTAGTGTTACTTAATTTTTTTTTTCCTGACAAGTGACTAGGACCTGAAATATGGGCTTTTTGCTTTATTTTGTTTCTTTTAACCTCTAGTACAGCCAAGCTATTTCACGAAAGGAACATAGTTCAAGTAAGAAGACTCTTTTCAAACCCGTGGAAGTACCATTTCTGAAGCAGCAGCAGAGTTGAGCTTCCTATATGCTTAGCATTTTACAGTGAACTTCAGAGGTAAAAAGAATGGCATGGGGTGATTTAAACTTTCCATAAATCTGGAAGGTGGGCAGCAAGAACAGCACCACATGAAGTCAATGTCATGACTAATGTTAACAGGCCATACACAGCAGCACACACACTGTTCAAAGCACTGCTGAGAACTGACCATGGTTTCCAATGAAGAGTGATGAAGTATTATTAATGAAGAACTGACTGTAAGGCGGGGGATCCAGCTTACGTACAGACATGCTGAGGTCCTGCATTCAATTCTTAGCAGGATAAAGGGTGGGAGGAGTTGATGACAGATTTGCTGGAGAAGCTGTTTCAACAAGGACAGCTAAAGCATAAGGTTGTAACTCACAATTTATGTCAATTTTTGAAGAGGGATTTTTTTTAAGTTATTATTGGAAAAACTAAATATAGAATAAATGCCTTTACCTGAAAACAGATGTAAATTAATACAGAGGAGGATAGTACAAAAGCGATAAATTGCTTGTTAACTAGAGTAAACAAATTATAAATATAAAATCAAAGCCCGTAAGACAATTCAGCAAATAAAGACGCTCACTGCCTGACAATCTGAGCTCTAGGACCCACATGGCAGAAGGAGAGAACCAATTCTCACCAGTCATCCTCTGACCTCCAAATGCTGTGGTCCAAACAAACACACACACACACACATACATACATGCACACATACACACATACAATATACACACTCACAGTATTTTAAATGTAAAATTGAGAGAAATGGGATTTATTTCTCCTTGGGATATTACCTAGGCACTAAGTATTACCGAACTACTACTGGAATCACTACCAGTGCTAATGGTAAGTTATTTTTAAATTTATGTTTTCTTATTAAATTAGCAAAGTTGTCGGGGTATGGTCATTTGATTCTGTAGATGCAGCTGTTGGATATTCAAGCCCTGACTGCCTTGAGTTAAAAGGACTTTTGATCAGATAGCCAGCTGCACTATTCTAGGCCAGCCTCTGCCATTTTGAATACTTCTGAGAGGCCCTGAGCAAATGACACAGTGATCACAGCTGCCTGCTCTGGGCCCGGAGGAACAGCCATAGCCAGCACTGTTTGAAACTGTTTGTATCAGACTTTCTGCTATTACAGGCCTAAGTAAACTCCAGATGACCCTGCAACTATTTCTACCTAGACCTGAGTAGGGGAGCATTTTCCATGGTGTCCTAGCTTGCAAATAACTGTTAAGGACAAGTACAAAGCGGGAATTGTCTTGTTTGGTACATGGGAGGCTGGCTGTGATTCCTGTAAACACCTTTTCTCTGCCTATATAAACTGCCTGTATGCTCACTAGGAGGGTGGGATAGGAAACACCCTTTTGTGTTTCTTCCCTCATTTTGCAACTGTGCTCAGGAGAAGGCTTCTTCCCTGTGTGACTTCTTGCCCACCTTTGATATGTCAGGCTAAGCTGGTAACAAGACCACAGAGACGGTGGCTCAGTCACTGCAGCAGTCACGGCTGAGCAGCCAGCACAGTGAGCCACAGACATGGCTGAGAGGCGAGCACACTGAGCTACAGAAGTAGCAGAGCAGCCAGCTACTTGAAAACTGACACAAGAGCTGAGCTGGGCAGTCAACAGTCCGAGTTGTAAAGCTACAGAGCAGCAGCTGTAGGAGATGTAGACCCACTAAACTATACGTGTGCCCACAGCAGCAGCAGAAGTCTGGTCACAACATCTCCCATACAGACAGTGGCAACTCAAACAGTGGCCACGGCAACAAGAGGCAACTGAATATCCAAGAGAGTGGCCAAGGCGAAAAACGAGAGGAACCGTGGAAGCACAGAAAGGGCAGGAAGCTGAAGAATGAAAGCCTGGGAGAGACCAGCAAGAGGAACCACAGGCCCTGGAAACAAAGAGTTTCAGAAAGTAAACAGTCTTTAGAAACAGGTGACCTCAAACAGTCCCCAGGTCTAGGTGTTTTAAAACTGGTTACCACCAAAGGCTTAGAAATCCCAACTCCCAAGGTCCACACAAGAGCTGAAATACTTGTAAAGCTAAGGGCCCTGGTTCTCTAAGCCTGTACAAGAGTTGTAACACTTCTAAAGCTGAGGCTCCAGCTACACAAGGCCTTCCTGATAGCTGATTACTGCAGAGTGCTACCTGCTTTTGTTCCTGCCTGCCTGCTATCAAAATACTAAGGAATCCTGGAAAAGCATCTCCTTGCCTACCCACAATTTCCTTCTGAGTAGAACAAAAGACGGATTGGTAACTGATTAAAATCTTATCTAAACCAGGTATGGTGGTGCTCACCTTTAATCCCAGCTCTCAGGAGGCAAAGGGAGGGAGATCTCTGTGAATTCCAGGCATGCATGGTCTATGCAGTGAGTTCTAAGCCAGCCGATGCTACACAATTAGATTCTATCTAAAACAAAACACAACAAAGCAGCACCCGGCACACAGTAACTGATGAGAGTTAATGCATGTGAAAATGCATTATGTAAAAAAAAATCACAAAAAGCTATACACATGAACATTTCTAGGATCTGCTTCCACTCGGACTCAACAGCCAGTTAAATACTCGAGGGGGATTCTGCATCTGTCTTATTACATATTCTGTGCAGTGTAAGTTACAGTGTAGTTACTCCTTCTCCCACCTCAGATCCATCCCTCGTTCTGTTGTAGTTTTCTAAGTTTACGCTCCTGTATTTTAGAATGATCTAACTGCTGAGGCTCTTATAAGGCAACGTCATACCTTTTGGATTTCTTCAGGTAAGGCATGCATGGGAATGTGACGATCCATAATTCCCCCAAACGTACTGAGAGAGCACTGCAGAAAAACAGTCTAAAAACATGGATGGCAATAGTCAGAAGTCATATCATGACAAGGAAACTCAAATGATTTAAACTTTGTTAGTATCTAGGGATGAACTGGCAATAAGCACTTCAGCAGATGCTTGTTTTGCCAGTTCCATGGTAGAAGGTACAATTTAAGTCTCCTCAGCTAGTTTTTAAGCCATTCACACAGGAAGATATATAGAGATATAGATATAGATATAGATATAGATATAGATATAGAGATAGAGATAGAGATAGAGATAGAGATAGAGATAGATATAGATAGATATAGATAGATATAGATAGATATAAATATATATAGATATATATCAATTACTGACTTAATACACCTTTTCTATTTTTCAGAAATTTATAAACTAATAATAAAAATAATAATAGTGCTTTACTAATTATTTGTTTTGCAACAGAATAACTGTAAGATTTTAAGTAGGCTTATTTCAGTATTATAAAATAACATTTTTCTGAAAAACTATAGAAACCAATACCAAATATAGTATCGTACTATAGCTAAGCAGGATAAGAAAAAACACTTGTACCATCAAAAATACTTAGAGTTACTAAGTTATGATATACAGGAACTGAACTGAAGAGCCACCAAAGCATCAAAGGCAACATACCAACTATAACAGAGATGGATAGCTATATAAAGTTATCTAGATTTTACTTTTAGCAGATTTTCATTTTCTAATACCAACAATTCAATATAAAACTTTTTTATATTACTTTCATGAAACCACAGACAACAGAGACATTATTTTCTTCCTTCAATTTTTTCTCAAATCGGACAAAGAATATTCAATCCAATCTTATCGAGGAAAAGTCCACCTATCTGTCCATGGAAAAAGTAAAGGGGACAAGAAAGATGTCTTACTGGATAAAGTCCTTGCCATACAGTGTAATCCCAGCACCCATAAATGTACAAATACCACCCTTGGAAGGCAGAGACAAGGATCCTAGAAGCAAGCTGGGTGGCTGGACTGACTGAACTAACCAGTTCCGAATTCAGGTGAGAGACCCTGTAAGGTAGAGAGTGACACTCGGCATCAACCTCCAGCCTCCACACATGAATAAACATGCATACACAGATGTGCTGATGAACATGAATCCACTCATGCATTTGTACTAATCAAATGTCACACATGTGTGCACGTGCGTGCGCATACACACACACACACACACAAACACACGAGTAGAAGATGTCAAGGCCGGAATGGTAGAGTGGTGCAGCAGATTCAAGTGACAGATACACAGATTCCACAGCAGAAACGATGGTCTAAGGCCCATGACAACTAAACACAGGCAACGTAACAGTCAAGAAAGGATAATGACCTCTCTATCTTTTAGGTGGGGGATGGGAAGTCAGCAAAGTCTTCCTACAAGAGAATGAAGGAAAAAATATAATGCCGGTGTTATTTTTGTAAACTATGCAACCACTAGTGGAAGAGAGATTCCTCAACCCTGTGTTAGCCCAAAATATCCCTCATTTCAATAAACACTATCTAAAAGAAACAAAAGTAATGAGCTGTCTTCCCACATGTGTGTGTGCTTGGTAATGTTAACTGAGGTCCACCACGGGAGTAAAGTTAATTATGTGGACATGGGTCCAAGGGACCAAGTACATAATCTGATACTGTCATAGTCACATGGCAAGAAACCAGAAGGCTCATTATCTTCAGCTACGCCACCGTTGGTAAATGGAAATGATAGTATCTTCGGCTCCATAGGAAATAGTTTTCCCTTAAATAACCAACTATATCTCCTCTTAGAGAACCATCCACAAAAGTATTAGCAAGCATGTACCTAAACAACATATAAATTCAAGATACCAGTGGGATATTTATTATTTAATGCCTTCACTGTGACTACTCTAACATATTACTATATCCCTAGAAATGGCAGGATTCTGACTATGAAAGAAAAATTAAAAATAGCACCCTGGTAAATTAGAAGGACTTCCAACACATAGGGTGGAGAAGAAAATGATTTTGATGCATATCGAAGAAGACATGGTAACAAGGTTAGGAATCTCACTCTTCTCATACGGCCAAGATACATTCATTGGATTCATCCCAAGAACATTTGAAACTTGTCCTCATATACAAGAGATCTTTAACATTATCTTATTGTAAACCTATGTAAACTTCGAGGGCAATCTGTAGTAACTAGTTGTTTTTCTGCTAAGCAGTGCAGATGGTTAGAACTAAGAGGTAGGCACTTAAAATTCCCAAGGTGATTACAAGGGCACTACTTTCTTTTAATGTTTATTTTTGTTACGCCTGTATTTTAAGGAAATGGCTCCTAAGGCATTAAAAAAGTCCACTGGGTCTTTATAAAGATGTGACTATCCATGAAAATAGAATTCGCAGATAATTCTGCTTTTCAAGAAGTGTGGGGCTGTTTGCTCTTTAGCAGGAGAAAACTTGTAATTTTTAATTTACCCATTCATTATTTTACCAAACAAGTTCCTTTTGGTCTTTCCCATTATATATATGTGGAAACTGTCCTTGGCAAAAGTACAGTGTTACGTGGCCCGCTGCTACGTGAGTGTTTGCGAACCTTCTCTGCGACACTGGTCACGAGATAGACGTGTGTGTTCTTAAATGCAGAAACGTCCTTAGTGGTTCATTTCCGATTCTTACACCGGTGTCACGCCCGGTCATTAACTCGGGGTCTGCTTCCAGGCCCTTCCTTAAGTACCATTCCCGGGGCGTGATTCACAAAAGGCCAGGTCAGGGACAGGAGAGCGGGAGGTCATGCCCGAGACTGCAGGAAACTAACCGCCGGACCGGGCCCACTGGCCCAGGCCTCGCATGGGGCGCCAAGAGGCCGCCCCGCCTTCCCTTCCTCCACCCGGCCCCTCCGCCCCGCCGTCCCGCGCCGCTGGCCTCTGAGCCGGAACTGCATCCCCGCCGGCCGGGTCCTTTGAGAACTGAGAAAGGCCATGACCCTCACCTAGCCCGGGACTCCGCAGGGTGTAAAACGGCTTCCCCGGTCTCCCGGGCGACCGCGCTGCACGTTGTCCTGACGTCAAGGCGCGGTGACATCAGAGCCCACGCTGTCGCCGACGCGGAAGCCGAGCTCCTTTGCAGCATCACTTGTCCCAAAAAGCGAGCTAGGCGGAAGCTAGCGCAGGTGGCGGGGGTCGAAGGAGAGGGCGGATTTACGCGCAGTTCTGTGACGGACAGGGATGGGGCTCTGGAACCGGCGGGGACGTCAGGCAGCCGAGGCGGGAAGTGGGAGGCCATGTGATCTACTGCAGGGGCCATAATTGCTCTCGGACGGAAGGAAAAAATGCTTTTAAATGAAATGATAACACGTTTTCAGCCACTGCCTCAAGGGCAGATTGACTGAGGAAGGCTTGTGTAGAATTTCATTTTGGTTCAAAAGAAGTCAAGATGAAGGGTTTAAGTTCATGAAGTATTAATGAGACGTGCTTCTGCACACTCAAGTTATGGAAGGGTTTTTACACACTGACGACTTCCCTTTATTCATACTTTATTCATAAAACAAATATTGATGACCTACTACGCGACAAGCAAGCAGGATGAGATGATGCTTGGTGACTAACACAGGCCACTAGTATGATTAGTGTCGTCTTCGTAGTCTGCTCCTTTTTCAGAATTATCTGAGGTCCAAAGTGCTGATCGTCCAGGAACTAAAGAAAACACGGTTTCCTAGCAGAAAAGAACAGTAATTACTGTTAAAGAATAGTTTGCATGAATAGAAAAAAAAGACACTAAAGAGAGAAAGGTGAACAGGTGATTTGAAATAGTCCCAGAACTATTGAAGCTACTGACTGATACCTAGTATGAAAATAACCACATGAAAATAGTGAATACTTCCCTGAGTCATGAAAGGTATAGTTAATACAGAAACTAGCAACAGTTACTTACTATTGAGTAAGTAGTATTATCTACCATATATGATTTTTAGATATATACTAGAGAGCTAGAAACAGAAGACATCCGACAGCATCACCATGAACACTTGAGTTATACATTGCACAAAATGTTACCATAGCTTTAACATCACTGGATAATAGGAATTGTATAGCCAGTATACTGATCTGTTATTGACCAAAAAAATTGTTATAGGGCACATAACTACAGTTTTGGAAATAATATTATTTACCGAGCACTTATATCAAAGGGAAGGCAATCCTCTGGAAATGGGGTGAAATCCCGTGGAAACACTATAATTCACTTTCATCTGTACCTACTCATTACATGTTACTTTGAGTCCATTTTCCTTGCCACTGTAAATGCCCCTCAAACCTAAATCCCATTGCTGATTAGCCACAAGCCAAACTTTCTGTAGGGGGTGCCACATGTGAATTGTCATGTGAATTATCATGTGAATTGTCACATGTGGCTCCCCTACAGAAACTTTTCATAATTGCATAAAATCCAATTAGATAGTGGTAGACCCAGTAAGAATTTCAAAGGAAAGGATAGCTCTTCAGAAAGAACAGAAATAAGTATATTTCCAATTGGTCATCCTGTGCCAAATAGCCCCCAAAACATGCTTACAAGAAACGGTATTTGGACTCTACAGGTTGTATTTGGAAATATATGTGTATATACAAATACATGTTTGAATCCAATAACAATTGAATAAAAGAAAGACGGTCTGTGCCTAGTGTCCTTGTATCTCGTTAGGCCACGTTTGGTGGATATCACAGGGAGGCTTGCTCTTTCCTGAAGAGAAATAGAGGAGCAGTGGATCTGGGGGAGAGGGGAGGTTGGGGCAAGGGTTGGGAGGAATGGAGAGAGGGGAGGTTGCAGTCAGGATGTATGAGAGAATAGAGAGAAAAGAGGCCATGGATTTGAAGGAGAGTGGGGGGAGATATATGTTGTAATTCAAATATGATATCAAAACTAATTTTAAATCCTCTAAAATGAAATATATATTTTTTTCAAAAAAAAAAAAGTTAGCAGGTTAGCACCAATCAAAATATGACTAGCGAGTACTGAAAAAAAAGTATTTTTTTTTAAATGGCAGCTCCAAAGACTGTCTTGTGTTGGTATTTTTTTCTCTTGATTATCTATTGATTTCAACTTCTCCCCCTCTCTCTTCCCATCCCATTACTGCCCATTCTGTAACTAAAATTAAAATATTCCTATTGTAGGGAGTATTGGATATAATTTTGTCCTATCCTTTCATTCTTTGGTGGCTGTGTGTGTGTGTGTGTGTGTGTTGTGCTTTGGAATAAATCTAGAGCCTACATGTGCTAGGCAAGTTCTTTTGAGCTATACTGGTCAGCCAGCTCATTGTAAGTCAGCTATTTCACTTTTTACTGTGACTTTTAAAGATAAGCCACCATTTTTAAAAGAAAATTAAAAATTAAATTCCTTGTAACTTCTTAGTGACCCTTCATTTTGTTATTTTCCTTATGGGTCAGTGATCCCCAGAAAGGGGGGTGGGGGGTGTCGTCCTAGTTTATAAAGTATCTGTATATGAATGAGATTCAGATTTCCATGTGTCCTGTAGACTTCTTACAGTTTATAAGGACTCCCATGTGTTTGCTACCAATAGGGAGTTCCCAAAAATACTTATCACTCAGAATAGTTGTTTATGGCAGTTGTTTGGGGCACTTGTCCCGTGCTACCTCCCCTCCTTTCCCGTGCACCTATATAGGAAAATAGGTACTTTGTTTATAAATCTGCTAAAACCAGCAGGAAGTCCACCCAAGATGGCTGATTTTAAAGTCAATGCGACACAGTACAAAGGTAGCATGATAAAATTACACTGAAGTCCAACTGTATTTTCATTCTGCAAACCACAATACAATACAACTCTGTCCTCTTGTAAGACTGAATAAAATGGTTGCAATAGGGCCTCCCAGGTTGGAAACAACTGCTGCTTTCATTGCTATTTCTGGGCTTCATCCAATGCGAGTGCAGAATTTTTAAAACGCCACCATTTATTGGGTTCTTTCTGTTTGCCAGGCACTTCATACACAATGCCCCGTTCACTTGAGAACCCTTCCAAACATAACTCTGTCAGGTCCTACTTACTGTTTACTTTCACCCAAATGATAGAAGTGGCCAAGGGCATGGCCCATCATATGAACACAGAAGTGTACTGGATCCAGTCTGAGTGTAAGTGGAAGCACCTGGGCCTCACATGTTGCCTTAGTTGTCTGCCAGACAGCCAGTCCTCCGGGACATTAGCCTACTGTGGATTAGAGACACATGTCTCAAACTTGGTTTCTTCATGACGTTTCCCATACAACTTCTAGCTTTCAAAAGAGGTTAGCTACAAAGCCTGCTTTGCTTTCTTTTACACGTCCCAACACATTTGCTCTATCATGCTTTTACATTTAAAGCTGCAGATCGCCTTATAAAGCTGCTTTGCATACTGAACCCCAAAAAGCTGTGGTCTAGAAATGAGTTAGACCACAAAATACTATTTTTAGGCTAGATCTCTGTATCTTTTTATTCTTCCCATAGCTGCAATACAAACTGAGTATGTGATAAAATAAAGGTCATGGAGTTTGAGTGGCATCTCTAGAATTTCCAAGGCTTTGTCATTCGTGCAAGAACAAACTGTGTAACAAATTTCAATTTGCTTCAGTCTTAGACTTTAATTATCAGACATATTTCCAATGAGACAAGTTAGATTCTTAAATGATAACTGTCTACTCTCAAATGTGAAAATTAAGACCCCTGCTACAGGGGCTGGAGAGATGGCCCAGCAGTTAAGAGCCCTGTCTCCTCTTCCAGAGGTTCAGTTCAGTTGATCCCTAGGTTCAATTCCCAGCACCCACATGGCAGCTCACAACTTTCTGTAACCCCAACTCAAGGCTATTTGATGCCTTCACATAGACATACAGGTAAAACACCAATGCCCATAAAATAAAAATAAATAATTTTTTAAAAAGACACCCACTACACCAAAATGTTTTATGACCATAAATATATCTTCTTCGGACTGCTTACTACTGGTAAGAGCTTCGTTTAAAAAATGTATTGTGTCATTATAATTCAATATTTGTTACATACATATATTTTTAAAACACGAAGGTATAAAGCTCTAATGACAGCAACTTAACACCAATAGTGAATTTGATACTCAGAAATAGGGCAGTGATAACTCCTTAAACATTAATCTTCCCATTAACTCAAATTCCTTTAATTAAATTCTTAGGATCCCAATCTGACCTACAATAAATACCTCATAAATATTAGATACTTCAAAAAACTGAAAACTGAGGACAGGAGAGATGACTCAAGTTAAGGGCACTCCTCTTGCAGAGGACCTTCTGTCAGTTCCTAGCACCCACTTAGAACAAGTCACCATCACCTGTCGCTTCAAATCCAGAGAGTCTCATAACCTCTTGTGGACCCAAGGGCACCTTCACTTGCATGTGCGCAGAAATGCACAAAGAGAGACACATACACATATAAACAACTTTAAAATAGATTTTTTAAAACCCTAAACCAAAAATTAGTAACTTCCTTGTACATAGAAAACAAAAAACAAAAACCTTTCATTGTTGGCACTGGTAGTGTACCCTGTAGTTCCAACACTTGGAATCAGGAGGCAGGATGATCTTGAGTTGTAAGCTACCCCGGACTATATATAGCAAGATGATGTCTAAAAAACAAACAAATAAAAAAACCTTTCTGAGATGTCCACAGGTCTCTTAATTCACAGTATCTTGATGTGTGCCTGGCAGAGGTGATTCTGTTTCCCCTTATATGATGAAGTATGAATCTGTACATTTGATTTCAGGTAGCTACTGAATTTATAGGAAATGAGGTTTAGTCATTGTCCTAATGTTGTACATCTCTCTCTGCTAAAGACTTAATGCCGTTCACTAAGTTGTGAGCTGGGGTTGTAGCTCAGTTGAGAAGCGGGCTTGCCTAGCATGCCTGAGGTCCAGGGTTCAGCTCCCAATATCACATACACCAATGTGTTGGCTCATGCCTATAATACCAACACTTGGGAAGAGGAGGGAAGAGGATCAGAAGTTCAGTATCATTCTCAGCTACATAGTTAGTTC